TTTAAAAAATGAGACTCAATTTAAGAGAAAGCAAGAAGCATGATCACCAGCTTAGATTAATTTGATATGAATATATTAATTTTGAAGGAAGCTATTAGAAAGAATCCTAAAGCACTGTACTTGCTTTGAGTACTATCCAGCACATTAAGAGGTTTAAGAAGGTGCTTTTGAGAAACTGTCCTTAAAAAAAAAAAGTTCCAATTGAAAATGTCTTTTTATATTAATTATTTTTCAAAATTGCTTGGCACAAGACAGTTAAAATGCAATCTTAAATTTATCATTTTCGAGCAATAATTTAAAGTTCTAAATAAAACAGCACTGCAGCACGGAACAGCTATTTTTTAGGATTATTTATCTGCAACATTCCAAATTCAAAATTCTTTTTCCTTCTGTAGTAATTATGGTACAACAAAATTTGACAGCAATGCAAAAAGCAAAGCCTTGTTCTTTTAAATAGCCTCAGGCATCTGCCATGTTAAGAGGTCTACAACATTCTAAACCCAGGGCAGACTTACTTAATTACCTAAGAGCCCTGGGGCATGCTTATAAATTAAGTTTCACAAATCTTTAAATTATAAATAGAAGTAGCAACAACATTAGCTGAACTACAGGGAGAATCACCTCCCTAAAAAACTGAAGGCTATCAGAGACCCTGAGGGTGGCCACATGCACATACCCTGGCTTTTGGAAAGGTGAGGGGTGCTCCAAGGGACATGGCCCACCTCTGCACCAGTGACCTATCTGGTCATGCTGGCAAGCAGTTTAAATAAGCGATACTGACATGAGGGAAAGACTAGCAATCTAAAGTAATCAAGACCCAAGCCAGATAGGATGTGTCTCAGAGAAGCAAAAATGTTTGAGTAATTCATTGTTTGTCGCGCCTATTTCCCCTCAGAAATTCTAAAAGGGAAAAAATTCAATAAACTGAAATGCCACCTTGGGCTTTAGGATGATTGGTAAAGAGCTGAATGTTCCCCATGAGATTAAGGCCTGACACATGGGAGATGTTTTAGTGAAGGCCTAATATATGTCTACATTTATGCCTAGTGTTTGATATATAGATCAAGGCTTTTATTTTTTTTAACTGAATTGTTAAAAGATACAAGATGACTCCTAATATTACAAGAGCAAAAATACATCCACAAAACCAGACTATTCAAAATCCCAAAGCAGAACTGAACAGTCACATGCCAAAGAATGACACCAGATCCCTACCTTACACCATACACAAAGGTTAACTCAAAATGGATTAAAGACATGAATGTAATAAGATCTGAAACCATAAAATTCCTAAAAGAAAACACAGAAGGTAAGCATCTGGACATGTCTTGGCAATGTTTTCTGAATCTGACACCAAAAGTAAAAATAAAAAATAAGCTGGGTTAAATTATACAAAAAAGCTTCTGTACAGCAAAGGAAACCATCAGTTAAATGAAAAGGCAACCTACTGAATGGGAGAAAATATTTGCAAATCATGTATTTGGTAAGTGGTTAATACCCAAAATATATAATGAACACATACAACTCAATTAAAAACAATAACAATCAAGGGGAAGATGATCTGAATAGATATTTTTCCAAAGAAGACATACAGATACCCAACAGGTGCATGAAAAGATGCCCAGTATCACTAACCAGCAAGGAAATGCAAATCAAAACCACAATATCACCTCACACCTGTTAGAATGGCTATTATCCAAAAGATAAGAAGTAACAAGTGTTGGTGAGGATGTAGAGAAAAGGGAACCCTCATACACTGTTGGTGGGAATGTAAATTGGTGCAGTCACTATGGAAAACAGTATGGAGATTCTTTAAAGAACTGAAAATAGAATCACCATACATATGATCCAGCAATTCCACTTCTGGGTATTTATGCAAAGAAAACGAAAACACTTACTTGAAATATATATGCATGTTCATTGAAGCATTATTTGCAATAGCCAAGATGCGGAAATAATCTTAAGTGCCCATCAACAGATGAATAGATAAAGAAATTGTGGTACACACACACCACACACACACACACACAGGAATATTATTCAGCAATAAAAAAGAATGAATCTTGCCATATGTGACCACACAAATGGACCTTGAGGGCATTATGCTAAGTGAAATAAGTCAGACAGAGAAAGACAAATACCATATGATCTCACCTATATGTGGAATCTTTAAAAAAAAAATCAAGTTCATAGATGATACAGAGAACAGATAGGCAGTTGTCTGAGGTGGGGTGTGGGAGGTAGGTAAAAAGGATGAAGGAAGTCAAAAGTCATAAAATAAATAAGTCATGAAGATGGAATGTATAGCATGGCGACTAAACTGAATCACACTGTACAGCATGTTTGTAAGTTTTTAAGGGAGTGTGTATTAAAAGTTCTCATCACAAGGGAAAAAAATTCTGTAACTATGTATAGTGACAGATGTTAATTGTACATATTGTGGTGGGATACAAATATCGACTCATTGTGTTGTACAGCTGAAACTAATATAATGTTGTATGATCAATTATATGTCAATTTAAAATAAAAATCCAAAAGCAGGAAAAAAAATCTAAAACAGAGAATCACCCGAGTATTATTATTGTTATTGATTTTACAAGGTTATAACCAGAAATATCTTGAGAAGATTACAATTAATTCATTCAACAAATATTACTTACTGACCTCCCACAATGTGTTACAAAGCTTATGTTAAAGATCAGGCAACTGACAACAAGAGCCTGAAAATGTTTGCCCAACATTACATTAGATTATACTCTTGGTCATGGTCGAAGCCAGGACTCAAATTCAAGATTCCCATCTTCTTGGAAGACTAGATCTTTGTTTAAATAATGCTTTAGAGAGAAAGGAACAGTGATAACAATCTGCCTGACTCCAGAGGACACTGTTGGGCTCACAGCGACTTCACTTAGATGTCAGGGCTACACTACTTTCTCTGTCTGCTTTATCCATACTGCATTCCACTTTAGGCACTCCCTAAAGGATGTAACTATATTTGCTTGTTTTAGCCACTTATATTATCAAGGTAATGAAGCCAAGGTTGCTGGCTCAGTCTTCACCGGGGACTTGCTATTTGTCATCATGCAGACTTAAAGCAAACAAATGATCCCTGCAAATCTGTCTTCACCAGAGGATCTCACAACATAGAAGCGTACAAAAAGTTTGGATCAGCGATGCTATCTTCTTAAGTGACAAAAGGACATCGGCGTTCATCTCCATATCTGACCTGGGGGCTTAACATTAGAGCACCAGGATCCCACAACCCACAGGGAAACTGCCCCATCAACCGTAAGCTTGAACTCTGATCTTCTCTTAATGATCTGAAGTCTCAGGTTACCAAAACTCAAAAAAAAATTATATCACACACGTGAATTTTCCATTCCCAGGCTTGCCCACCCACAAATGTGACCATCCCACATTGACAACCTACTGGACTTTGTTTCCACTTTCGGCAAAGAGTGTATGACTCAAACTACTGGTCTGGCCCAGTGGGATAAATCCAATGGGAATCTTACTGAAGGTAGCCTGGGGGAAAAACAGAGGGAAGTTTTATTATTAGGTCAGAAAATGAGACTGAACAGAGAGGCACAGGTGCGTGCACTTGGACAAAGTAACTGACCCCAGGCCTGCTCCCCTGTTTTCCTCCCCACACCCCTAGACCAAGTAAGTCGTTTCTAGAACAAGGCAGTTCATGAAAACAACATAACTTCAAATTTTGGAAAAAATATTTGGGTATTCATTAACAGCAACTGGTTGAAAGAAATTTGGTAAAGAAAGTGAGGGTCTTAGATATTAGATGCATTTGCATGATTGTTACAAAAGCTGTATTGTGCTGTCACACTACCTGGAAAAGTTGCAGATAAAATTCAGCTAAAAATGTCTAGCATTTGTGCAGTGTCTGATGACGGGCGAAAGTGCTTTATAAACTATCTCAAGTACAACCAAGGCTAAGAGAATAAGCAAGTTCAAGGAGCAGAAGAACGGCATAGCAGATAATTTAATTAAATGCCACAAATCAATAGATACTCTAAGGTCCCTAAAGATTATTTTGAGCTCAAATCTACTATTCCAAAGGGACTGGGAAGGTTCTTTCTTGTCGTTATTTATAAAATACTTTAAATCACTGTAGAAAAGTGGGCAGAATAACCTCACAAATACTAATGTACCCAAGACCCAGATTCAATTTGCTTCAGATGTTTGAAGAAATAAAATGATGCAATACAATGGAAGTCCCATCTCATCCGAGTCTCCTGTCCCCCTTCCCAGCGGAGAGCATCACCCCGAGGTAGGTGGGGCTCCTTTCCATGCCCACTGTTACTCCTGCACTACATAGTTTAGGCATCCACTAACAGTATCTTCGTTTTCTGAACTTTAAAACTTTGTAGAAATGCGTAACTTACTTTGGCAACCTGCCTGTTTTAATAGAATATTTGTTCAGATTCAACAATGTAGGTATTTGTAAACTTAGTTCACTCATTTTAACTGTTGTATGGTTTCCAATACATGAATATCCCACAATTTTTTCATGAAGGAATCTTTTGAAGAAAAGATTCTACAGGCGATTTTATATTTTAAACAACTCTTGGTAAAAGCCATTGGATACTCTGGATTCCCAAAGTCCACCATGGGTTAATGAAAGTGTCACATGACAGAGGCAGAAGTACTTTATTTTCTAAAATCCGAGGCAGCATAACTTGTGCCCACCTTACAATGGTGAGAAAGGGGAAAAGAAAGAAGTGAAGAGAGATTAAAAAGAATAGAAAGGTAAAAACCAAAGTGCAATTACTCTTATTTTAAAGCTCACCTCATCTGCTCTTCGAAGAACTCCAGTAATAACCTATACATGGTAAAAAAAAAAACAAAAAAAACAAAAAACTAAACAACTTGTATTTCCTTTATCATAAAAGAATTGGATTCAATTTTCATGGACCTCAAACTTGTTCCTGTTTTCTTCCTAGAAACTATGTCAAAAAATGTACTGGCTCTTAAAACACATAGTATTCAATAAGATCAGAGCTAAATTAGATTTTGTACTTGACCTAGGATCAATAGTGCTATCAAGACTAAGATAAAATAATTATAAAACCTCCACATTATATTAGTAAAATTATGTTTTAAGGTCTATAAGATGGGTATAAATGTGATGCACGCATCAATTATACAAAAGGCCCCAGCGTGCCACTGTGAAGCACACACAGAGGTAAAATGCACTCAGAGGGAAGTCAGCTCTCAATAAATGTTCCTTTTTGAAGAACATAAAGACAAAGGAGACTGTATTCCCCCTATAAAGAGACATTTTTAATTTGAACTTTACATAATTTATTTTTTAGTTTTAAACTATAATACACATGTCTTGTAAAAACTGTGAAAAATACCTGAAGAAAAAATATTTTCTCATAACCCCACCACCCAAGATAACCATCACTAAGCAGTTGTTTATATTTTGGTATATTTCCCTCCAATTAATCAGGGCATATTCTTATGACCAGATTATACCAGATACACAATTCGGTATCTTTCTTAAAACTTTTGTAAAGTCAAGGCTGACGCCAGCCTTTCCCCTTCACCTCCTGTCTCTCTGAATGTCAGGATTAAATGGGGTTGTATGAGGTCCACTTCGCTCTTTGTTGGCATGCTATCCGTATGCTTCACACTTCAAAGTCATAAAAGCAACTACAGGATCATCAGCACAGTCTTTTGAAAAGAAGCTTACTAAGGTGGGTAGGCACAGCTCAGTGGCAGGGCACATGATTAACACGGACCGGGTCCTGGGTTCAATCCCCAGTACCTCTATTAAAAATAAATAAATAAATAAAGTTTTATTTTTAAAAAAAAGGAGCAGCTTTCTAAGGCTCACGTAGTTGCTAAGTCAAACACAGAACAGTACCCTGTCTGCTGTCTGATCCCTGATGAAACCACCAAAGAGAGGCAGACGACAACCAGAAAAGAGGCACGGATGTGAATTATGGGACAAGGGATAGAGGGACTGAGTAGGAGAGGCACTTGCACTGGGCTCTAGGGGTTCCCAATAAATAATAAAGGTTCTAGTCTATTGTCCTGGAAAAGCAGAGCATTTCCAGGGCAACATACTTACTGTCCTTATTGGACCAAAGTAAGCATTAAGGGAATGGAATAGTAGAGCAAAGGCAGATGCTATATCTGAACATGTAGACCTCTGCCTCTAAATGCACCTTTAGGAGATAACATTGCAGGGGATGGAAATGATGTGAGAATGAAGAGATGCATTTTTTTTAAAGGGAATCTTTAAGTTTATTTTATAAGAAACCTTCCCATGATTGAAGCTATGATTCCAAAACAAAGTGGGCTACTTCCTAAGAGTCCTCAAAATATAAAAAGCATATCACTCCCAGCACCCTTCTGTATCTTGCTTTTTTCAGTTTTATCAAACTTAAATTTGATAAATGAAAACCCTTCTAAGTGCTGGGTAAAGAATTTATACAAAGCAGTGAAATAAAAGTGAGTGAAAAAAATGGAGTGCTATACATGTTTCAGAAACAATCCTAAAAGAACGGATTACAAAGAAGTAATTTCCTTAAATTATAACCCCTTTCTGCCACTGCTCCAAGATCTAATTTCTGCTTTCCTCACCTTCAAAATGGTTTCAAACAGAAAGCGGCCATTACCTCTTGCAATGTCCCATCTCCTCCAGCAACAATGATCACATCTGTGTTCTCCATCAGCTCCAGGAGTTTCTTGGCTTGGCCCTCATAATCTGTCTGCAATACAAAAGGAGCCTTTGGTAAATTTATCATCCCAGGGCCACAAGGTCAAAGGTCTAAAAATATGGGATATTTTCCTTAAAGTTTTACATTGAATCTTTCCTTAAATTCTACATAATTCATATACATGAAAAATTAAATAGTTATCAAAGAAGCTATGTATCATTTTTACAGATTTATATTTGTAGAGCTGGAAGGGACCTCAGAAACCATGTAGTCAGCCCCTTACTTTAAAAACAAAACTTACCTAGTAATTTGTCTCAGTTATACAATTAGCTAGTCAGGGGACTCATTTCAGGTCCAGTGCAGATTCGATCACATCATTTACCCAATGACTTCCATCTGAAAGCAGGAAGTCAAGTGTATACGCAAATAAGGAGAAGCAGATGTAGTGAAAAGAGCACAGATTTGGGAACCCAACAGACCCAGACTAAATCCCAACTCTGCTACTTTTTAGCTGAGTGGCCTTAAACGCTCAGGATCTTAATTTCCTTATCAGTGAAATTACATGTACTGCGGGGAGCAGATAAGAGCTTCCTCATAATACTGTTGTAAAGCAGTATGAAAAGCTACTAGCCAGGCACCTGTTCTTAACTGGCACTGTACGAAATAAAAGGTGATTACGGTTTTTCTATGATTGTACATAAATATAGGCATGACTCAAGGCAGTCACAAGACAGTACCTAAGCCTCACTAAATTTACTGCAAATACTTCATCTCAGATACACATGTGGACTTAAATGAACCATCTAAGCCACCACCTCTAAACCCAAGCATTGAATTTTAACACATGTAACTAATACTAAAGTAAGGACATACTCTCTCCAGCTGACACTATACTAGACACATTAACAGGGAAAAGTAAAGATGGAATTCAGAAGGGCTAAAGCACCTGAGCTATTCAGCCACACTTAACACAGACAAAACCTAAGCCCCTAGACTAATACCACTTAATCTTCTGATGAGTGGTTCAACTTTTATTCTAAACAATGAAATGACTGGCTTTACAACTATACTTTTTGATATACATTTATCAGTTTATTATAAAGGATTCAGATGAAGAGCCAGTTGAAGAAGTACATGGGGCAAGGTATGTGGGAAGAAGGGGCAGGGGTTTCCATGCCCTCACTGGGCACATCACCTCTCCCCAGATCTTCCTGTGTTCCCAAACCTGGAAGATCTGCAAAACCTGTCTTCCTGGGGTTTTATGTTAGTTTCATTGTGCACACACGGCTGATTAAATCATAGGCCCCTGGTGATTGAGCTCAATCGATCCAAATACTTCATTTGAAAAAAAAGAACGTATGTCAATCCTGGTTAAAAGGATGGTTTGTGAACAGCCTGAAATAGGTGATCACTGGGTTCGCTAAGAAGATAAGTAATCAGGAAGGGTTCGCTAAGAAGGAGGTATTTCAGACTATCCTCATCTTTGACAAATTAGTAGATCAGAAGATCTGGGAATCCAAACAGACATTCTATCAGGTCTTCAGCACGGCACTTGGCAAGCTATTTCGATATATCCTTGAGGACAAGGTGGAGAAATGTGGAAACAATACACTAGAATATAATTGGGTGAACTGACTACCAATTGAATGTTTATGCTCAAAGTAAGATGCTCAGTGGAGTGACATCAAATTGTAGGTAGCTTCCTGATAACGTTTCTTTAGGGCTTTCCATCCAGCCTTCTCCCACACAACACTTTATCAACAATGGAGAGGAAAGGTAATTTACTGAATATGTAAATGATACAAACCTGACAATCTTGCCCCTGTGACTTCTCCAACCTCATCCTCTCCCGGTCTCCCCTTGCTCATTCTACTCTAACCACACTGGCCTCCTTACTCTTCCTCAACACCCAAGTACACACCTCTGCAGAGCCTCTGAACACGCAATGTGCTCAGCCTGGATTCTCTTCCTTGCTCACCTGCATGACTCACTCATTTCCGCCAGGTCTCTGCTCAAAGGTCATCTTATCAACCCGGACTTCCTCACCTTCTGAACTAAACTAACAGCCCCATGACTCTTGTTCTCCTTAGCCTGACTGATTTTTCTTCTTGGCACTCATCACCATCTAACAAACTGTACATTTATTTTGCAAATGTTTCTTATCTGCATCTCTTCCTTTCACAATTGAAATGGAAGCTCTGAGAACAGACAGGGAAAATTTTTGTTCAGACTGTGTCTCCAATACCTAGAACAGAGTTTACCTTGTAGTAGGCACTCAATAAATATTTGTAAGAAAAACTAATAAATATAAGTACATGAATGAAAGAACCAAAATTGAAAACGACACTGACAGATTTAACAGATGGTAATTTAAAAGATTATGTTAACAGAGGTGACATATTTGAGGCTCTGATCTTAAGAGGAAAATTTCAAATGCACCAAAGAGGAAGGATAAAAAAGCATGGCCTAATGATGCAGAAAATCTAACCTTACACCTTTCACAAAAATTACCTCAAAATGGATCAGAGACCTAAAGGTCAAGTAAAAACCTATAAAACTTCAAGAAAATAACGCAGGAGAGGCTCTAGGTGATCCTGGGTTTGGTAATGAGTTTTTAGACAAATCACCAAAGCAAGATTCACAAAAGAAAAAATTAGTAAGTTGGACTTCCTTAAAATTAAAAACTTCTTCTCTTTCAAAATACTGTTAAGAAAATTAAAAGACTGCTTTAAAAGAGAAAATATTTGCAAAACACATATCTGATAAAGAACTTGTATTTAAAAAACTCTAGACTAAAAAATAAGAGGACATACAAGAAACACCCAGTTAAGACAGCAAAGATCTGAACAGACACCTCACCATAGAAAATATACGGATGGAAAATAAGCAGAAGAAAAAATGCTCAGTGTTATATGTTATTAGGGAACTGCAACTTAAGACAATGAGAAACCACTATATACCTATTAGAATGGCTAAAAACCCAAAACACTGAGAATGCCAAATGCTGATGAGGATGTGGAACAACAGAAAATCTCCCTCATTGCTGGTGGGAATGCAAAATGGTACAGCCACTTTTGGAGAGCAGTCTGGCAGTTTCTTACAAAGCTAAGTATACTCTTACCATACAATACAGCAGCCACACTCCTAGGTGTTCACCTAAATGAGCTGAGGAAGTTCTTCCGCACAAAACCCTACATGTGAATGTCTGCAGAAGCTTTATTCATAACTACAAAATTGGAAGCAACCAAGATGTCCTTCAATAAGTAAATGGATAAATAAACTGTTGTCCATCTACACAATGGAATATTATTCAGTGATAAAAGGAAATAAAAGAGCTATCAAGCCATGAAAAGACATGCCACTGAGGACCTCAGGTGAGACCAGCACAGGAATGGCTCTGAACACAGACTGCTGACCAACAGAATCCTAAACATTAAAACGGTTGTCAAGGCAGTTTATTGTGGAGCGAGAGATAACGAGTACAGAAGTAACTCTAGATGCAACAATCTAATAGACAGGGTCAAAATGTGAGAAAAATGAAATGAGCTGAAATTTGACTGAATCTACTGATACAGTCTCAAAATATTTTTAAAAAGTGGATAAAATTACAGAGAGAAACAGACAAATCCAAAATTATATTGGGATATTTTTAACACTTCTTCCTGGACAATCTATAGTCTAAAAAGAAGAAAAAAAATCAGCAAGGACATATGATTTGAGCCACTCAATTAACAGATTTGACTTCATGGACATGTACAAAACATGGTACCCAAAAATTGATACGTATTCTTTTTAGGCATACAGAAAACATTTCTGAAAACAAACCACACACTAGGCCATAAAATAAGTCTCAATAAACTTTAAAATACTGGAATTATATAGACTATATTCTTTGATCGTAATACAATTAAATCAGAAATCATTAACAAAAAGATGTGGGAAAACTTCAGATCTGGACATTATGAAAATGCCTAAATAACTCATTGGTTAAACAAAAATCATGATGAAAATTAGAAAATATTTAGAAATGAGTGATAATGAAAACATTGTATATCAAAACTTCTAGGATGCAGCTGAAGCAGCAGAGTGAAAATTAATGACATAAACATCCAAGATAAAATGTCAGAAAAGAACAGCAGAAAAACATCCAAAGAAAGTAGAATGAAAGAAACAAGACAGACAGACAAAAAATTAATGAAATAAACATAAATAAAAGGATCCACAAGCCAAAAAATGGTTCTTGGCAAGGATTAATCAAATTGATGCACCTCTCATATAGACTGGGAGAAAAAACAAAAGACAGCACATAAAAGCAATAAATAATACCAAGCATGAAAATGAGATATTACAGATGTTACAGAAATTTAAAAGAAGAGGACATTATGAAAAACTCGATGCCAATTAATTTGAAAACTTTAGATGAAATGAAGAAATTCCTTTAAAAAATTTACCTTATGAAAATTAAAGAAGAAATAGAACTTGAATACTTCTATAGCCATTAAAGAAATTTAATATACAAAAAAACAAATCCCTTCAGCTAGTTCCAGGCCCAGATGGTTTGGACTTTGCAGGAATAAATAATGTCAGTCTTAAACACCCATTCTAAGATCTCTCATATATAGAGTCTGCAACACGCACTACAGGACCTGAAATAAACGTTAGTTTTCTTCCCCTTTCTCCCTCCCCTGGAGGCAGACAACTGGAAGATCGCATCTCAGACAAGTTGAAGAAAAGAGCTCAACAGGACATAGTAAATAGGACTAATAACTCTTCAGCCTCTGTGATTTAAGTGTGTAATGTTAAAAATAGGTAAACCACAGACTTACAAGCACGGTAACAGAGTGGTTTTCACCAAATATGCACAGCTATACACACACCACATACACAGCACTTAAAAGTCAACAAAGTGCAATCATGAGGCATCTTCTCACAATCTCTCTCACTTATTTTTGTCCCCTTTTCTTCTTACCCAAATCTCGAAAACTCTAAAGCCTTACCACTTAAAAGTCCTCACCAGAGATAATTCCCCACCAGAGAGAAAATGTTCACCTGTCCGTGGAACTACCAAGAAATCAAATTACTCAAACTTGAAGGTTTTTTTTATATTCAGGAAAAGAATTCTTACAGCTGTGACAACTTTCATCTTCCGAGAGACGACATTTCCACAGTCCTTTCAGATGAAAGGAACCAAGTTCATGCCTCCATCTAATCCTATTCTAGCAATGAAAAGCTGACAATGCTTGGAAAAAACAAAATTATTTGACTAATTATCAGAACAAGGATTTCTCTGTTCTTGTTTTCTTAAGAGATAAGTGACTTTTGCTAAGATGTCAAGAGAAAAGGCTATGTCATAAGGAGTGGAAGCTTGGATAAAACCAACACTCTAGAGCAGTTCTCACCTTAACGACAGTCACATCCATGCCAGATAAGTGTAAAATCGGGGCAGCATTTTTTTCAAATAGAGTCCTGGCTTTGCTGTAAACAAAGGAAAAAGTACAAATATTTTAATAAGAGTTCTCAAGAGGAAAAATAAAAAGCTCAACCATCTTCTCTAGAATAAAACAAGAAACAGCCTATAGGACTCGGTTCCCTGTATTTGTTCAAGTACAGGAAGTCTAACAATGAGTAATGCATTTCTAAGGATAGGAACGTGGACTCTGTCACTCTGGGGCCTTCAGGAGTTTACCCCTCAGCTAACACAATACCTTGATCCATTTGGGATGCTTACAGTTCACAATCTAGTTCCTCTAGAGGAACAGCGTACACCACATATGGCTTCACTCAGGCAACAGTGTCTGATTCATTCAACAAGCATTTATTGAACTGCTACTGTGTGCTGGACAAGCATAAGAGCTGGGGCAACAACATGACAAGGCAGACAAAAACACCTGTAACTCAAGAGCAACACAGTTCTCTTGGAACGTATTTATACTCCAGTGGTGGACTGAGAGTGTATTTAGTCTAACATTTTTCATATGATCCAAAAGAACAGATTGAACCACAGAGAATATTGCTTCATTCTAACTCAATGGACACAAGCTTTGGAGGAGAGATATGTCATTTTTAACAATTTCAAGTACTAGGGTTATCTCCATTTCTCGAGTTTCAAACCTGTAGTGAAATCCCTAGAGAAAGAGCAAAATTCTTTTTCAATAAGGCAGAATTTCTGCTGAGAAAGGAAAAAGTTCGAAATTACCTAATCTAACTATAAGATAATCAGCACCTTGTCCGAAACTCCCAGCCATGCCCTTCTGTGGGTAGCCCCAGTGCTTTGTACACACCTCCCTTAGGGACTTTCGCATTCTATGATGATTAGTGATTTCCAAGGCAGGCTTCAGGACTAGACTGGAATCATTTCAAAAAGACACACCAAACCTTATTAATCCTTGAGTCCCCAGCCTCTAGGAGTCAGACTGGCATACTCAGAAGGGACTTAGTAAGTACCTGATGAATTAATGCACATATGAATGAATGAATGAATAAACCTACCCCAAATGTAGACACGTATATTCTGAGGAAAAGGAAATGAGACAACTGTGGTATCTTATAATAGCAGAAATAGCTAAACTGCTCTTAGAAGAGTTTGTGTGTTTTAAAAGTATCATACATCATTCTGGTAGTGACCCTGGTCCAGTTCAGACAAGATTCAAAAACACAGCTGGAGAATCATGGGATGCAGAAGTCTCAAAAAGTCCCCAATGGCGTGGTCTCAAAGTTGAATAAATGTTCAGTGTACCAATCAGCTGACTTGTCTTTCACCCAAATATTTTCAACTATCACATCAGAAAAAAATGAACAAAAACTAGTACTTTCAAAACAGTCAACATCAAACTTTTACATCCACATTGACCCAGTCCTCTTTCAGAAAGATTATTTTTTAATCAGTGACGCATGCTTTGACTTTCTTAAGAACAGTTTATTCTAAAAAGAGATTAAAAAGTAGCAAATGAGGAACATACATATTCATAGACCAAGTTCAACACTTTAAAAAGAAATAACTACCAAATGGCACACAAAACACAAAACATTTCTTATTATGAATTAAAACAGCAATTGAGAAGCTTGAGCAAATTTTCACAAAAGAATACTTGGAGCCAAGGGCCTATGTAAGCATATAATAAGCAAATTAAACAAATACCCTTTCCCTCTTCGATTGCTTTGAATGCTTCTTAGAATAGATGTGAAAGAATAAATGGAAATTTCTTTTTTTCCAGCTCACCATTTCTGGGGCTTAACCCAACAATAAAAGGCTGAGCTAGTGACATTGTAAAAACATTTCTCCTTGCAGGGTTGCTTTCATTACTAGGTTGATAAGGAAGGATCAGCTGGAAGTGGAACAGATACATCTCTGAGAAGCAAAATTCTGGAGAAGTCTCAATCGGCTATATTAATCACTTACAAGTCTGTAAGCTCCTCTGAGTTAAAGAAATAAGGTTTACAAAACTACAACGAGGGATCACCTCAAACTGGTCAGAACAGCCATCATCAAAAAGTCTACAAATAATAAGTGCTGGAGAAGGTGTGGAGAAAAAGGTGGTGGGAATGTAAATTGGTGCAGCCACTATGGAGAACAGTATGGAGATTCCTTAAACAACTAAAAATAGACTTACCAAATGATCCAGCAATCCCACTCCTGGGCATATACCCAGAGAAAACTCTAATTTGAAAAGATACATGCACCCCAATGTTCATAACAGCACTATTTACAATAGCCAAGACATGGAAGCAAAACTAAATGTCCACCAACAGATGAATGGATAAAGAAGATGTGGTACATATGTACACACACACACACACACACACACACTGCACTATTACTCAGCCATAAAAAAGAACGAAACAATGCCATTTGCAACAATCTGGACGGACCTAGAAATGATCATACTAACTGAAGTAAGTTAGAAAAAGTAAAATATTATATATCACCTACATGTGGAATCTAAAAACTACAAATGAATTTATTTGCAAAACAGAAGCTGACTCACTGACATAAAAACAAACTTACGGTTACCAAAGGAGGAAGGGATAAATTAGGAGTATGGGATTAACAGATATACACTAATACACACAAAATAGATTTTTAAAATAAGGATTTACTGTATAGTACAGGAAACTATATTCAATATCTTGTAATAACCTAACACGGAAAAAGATCTAAAAATATATATATTTATATAACTGAATCACTTTGCTGTACACCTGAAACTAACACAATAGTGTAAATCAACTATACTTCAATTTAAAAAAAATCTGAATACTTGAGGTTTATTCACATCTTTATGTGATGCCATGGGTACAAAAATCTCTAAAAGGGAAGTGAAGACATTTTTTCCTTCTAATGTTCCATATAAAATATTGAAAAACAAGTGTTACCAGTAAGAAATATATTATTTATTATATAATTAAGGGTGAGATAGCACCAGAGTTAAATAAAAACTTTCTATACTTACAGCAATTTCCAGGTTCACGCACACTGAAAAAAGAATTACTCCTTAATGTATTATTTATTAACGCTAAATACAGTTATCTTATTTCCTTAAGCTCTTATGTAGTTTTAAACCAGTACTACATAATGAAATAGCTACATGATAAATTATAAATTATGTGCCAGAACAGAGCCAAGATGACAGAAACAGTACAAATAGTGAAATCTTTTTAAAAAGATGCTGGAGAGTTTCAGAGTGGCTGCTTCCCAGAAGCAGGCAGGGATTCACCTTGTTAAAGGGGACGATGACTTTAGAAAGAAAGACTTGCCTTCTGCTTGTAGACACAAGTATACTTTTAAACAAGAACCTACCTTTAAAAATGCAAATATACTTACATGTAAAAGTGTAAACAGAATCTAAAATATCTCCTAGAAGTAGGAACTCAAAATGACTGATTATAGCGTCAACAAACTGCCATTTATTTCATCAGAATTAGCAAGTTACTAACTTACTAGGTCTCTAAAGGAACAGGACCTAGAACAGCTGCATAAAGTAGGGAGGAGGAGGGGGCCAGGGTAGGGAGCCAGGAAAGCACGCTGTGAACCTAGCCCACAGGTCAGTGGTGACAGCAACGGCAGCTTACACTTCCTTGATCGAGTGCTAACGATGAAATGGAAAGAATGCTCAACACTTTATGGGCATTATCTCATTTAATCCTCAAGGACTAAATGGTAATTTTGATAAGGTATGTGCTATTTCTTTTCCCATTTTACAGATGAGTAAATTGAGGATTTAAGAAGTTAAGCAACTCCCACAGTATCACAGAGCAGAAAAGAGGGCACAGACCAGGTGCTTCAAACTGAGACCTAAACCCAATTCTCTGCTAGCTTCTGCCACAGGCCACCAGGGACTGTTTGGTTGTCTTGGGTATTTGGATTGTGTTGTATTAGAGCCTGTTTGGTTGTTGGTATTGTTCAGTGTTGGTTTTTTTTTTTTACTTTTTTTTTTCAATGGAGGTACAGGCTTTGAGCCCAGGACCTAATACATGCTAAGCATGCACTCTACCACTGAGCTACTTCCCTCCCCCCTCCAGTGTTGGCTTTAAACAAGAATGATCAATAGGCAGATGACTGGTATGTTTATGGGGGAAGGAAGTGGCTCCAACAATGGTGGGCAAATACAGTTCAATTAGGTAGAGTGATGGAGCCAATTTAGACAATCAGTAGGAAAATATTTTAAACTGCTGAATTAAAAAGAAATAAGGTGTGACTAGTCCTCTTATCTGTGAAACCACACTCACTACCTCCCTAGAAATGACTAGAGGAACTTATTTCAGAGCCCCTGTGTTTCTCTCCAGACAATATGAATGTTATTCACTTAGAAGCTGGTCCTAACTATTCCATTGTTCTTATTTTCTTAACATTATTTTACTTAGAGCTTATAGAATCCAATCGAACACAAATTTATTAATTTTCTGATCCTCAGAAAAGACAAAAAGAATCATCCTGATCATTAGGTAGAATAAAAGGTATCACTTTTTTCTCCCCCTCCATCCTTTCACTCTTACTATTTTTAAAAAATAACTTTAAATTTTAAATGAGTTCTTAAAACCATCAAAGTCTTTTTATTTCCCTTTCCTAACAATGTAAAAAAATTTTTTTTTTGCTTATGGCACTTTTTAAAAATTAAGACTTTACTTTTTAGAGCAATTTTTAGGCTTACAGTAAAAATGAGTGGAAAACAGAGTTCTCACATACGCCCTTCCCCCCTAGACAC